CCCCCCCCCTCCCTCCGAGGCCCCCTCTCGCTGTCACACTGGTTCCGCTGGGACCCACTGAGCCCGGGACCAGAAAAGTGCCTCTGTCACAGGGGATCAGAGGGAGATCGGTACACCATCTCCCCACGGTCCCCTCTCCGCTGTCAGAATGCGGAAGTGATGTATTTTACATCACTTCCGCATTCTGCTGTCACTCTCCAGCTTGAGACAAGGAGGGGAAAAGTAAAAAAAAGTTCCCCCCCCAAATTGTTTTAAGTTACACATAAAAAAGAATAAAAAAACAAAACAAAAAAAAATGTTTTTTTTAAAAAAGTCCCCACCCTTACACTCACGCCTTCCAAACATGCGTCAGGTGCGCATACCTGCGAAAACGACGATTGGGCCCATTACGCCGCACATGTTACACATCGCCGCGAACGTCGCAGTGAGAGCAATAATTCTAGGGCCATCAATCCCTGATAACACTGAACCGATGAGCGGTAAAATCTTTTAAACGCCGCCTATGGTCAATTTTGGGTATGGTAATTCTTTGCGATTTCGCGGGTGCGCGCAATTTTTAAGCTTGACATGTTTGGTGTCTATTTACCTGCCGTGAACCCGTCTTTTATATTTTACCAAAAAAATTGGGTAATAATAATTGTTTCCTAACATAGTGGAAAAAAACACCTTTTTTTCCCCCCTTCAAAATTAGTAAATATAGTAACAAAATAAAAACCGCAGTGGTTATTAAATATCACCAAAAGTAAGCTCTGTCTCCCCCCCAAAAAATACTGAAAAATGGCCGGGACAGGAAAAAAAAATGTAAACTTAATAATGGCATATTTACAAAAAAAGACATTTATTTTTTTTACCACTCAGCTGTTCATTTATCATGGCATACCAAGCACCTTTATCAGTGCAAACAGCAAAGTGCAACCTATAACAACCAACCCAGAGACACTTTACTGAAGCTAGTTCAGTACAGGATGGCTTCTAACGGGACACTACACCGTGCTTCAGCCTGACTGCCAAATGAACCTGTTGCAATCACAGGTGTCAGATAAAACCACCAGCAGATGAAGCTGCATCTGTAAGCCCGGATTCGCATGCATTGTGGTAGTGCATGGTAAAAAGTGCATTACTACGATGCACAAGCCGCGGTATGTTCTAGGGCAACTCATTAGAATGTCACCCCAAAACATTGTTACGGTAGCGGCCAGTGCATCCACAATGCAGTGGGCAACAGCATGCATGATGTGTGTGGTGGTGCACGTTGTAAAAAAAGATGTTACAACAGATTCTCCATGTGCTAAATGCAACCCAACACCTTCACCAGGAGTGTTTACACATCGCGTAGTGTGAATGGGCCCTTAATATGATGCTCAGTCCTGACAAAAATAGAGAGCTCCTGGCAAAGCGGACTAGACAGGACAGGACATTTCTAGACAGTTCTGAATGAACGGGGGATATCCAGCTTTACATTTTATAACCAAAAAAAAAGGTATATAAAAATTGATAAAATGCTACATTACTCTGCCATGTTTTTGCAGAATTCCCATAAACAAGAAAAAAACAAACCAAACACAACACACAGTAAAATCAGGAATGACCTTGAGCCCTTGTTCACACCAAATGCAGAGCAGATCTGGTCAGGTTTCTGCACACGCACGCTAGTCTTTTAGATGCGTTTTTGGCTAAGAAAAAACATGGGCTTTCAGTGCGTTCCAGGCATGTGCATGCATTTTTTATGTGTTTGCAGATCCAGAGCAGGTAAAATAGGGCGTGCTGCAGTTTTTTTTACCTGCTCTGGACCTGCACGCTGCGATGTGAACTGGAGCTAAAACTACCATAGGAATACATTGGACGCAGTTTTGATCCGATCTGCACCTGCTCTCCTCTGCACCTGCTCCGCGCTTGGTGGGAACTAGCCCTAACAGTAATGAAAAGTGAATAACCTTCTTGAGCAATGAATTACATTTGCGAGGGTCACTCTGTTACAACTTGCATCTCACCTAAGAGATCCGGTTGAACAAGCTGCATCTGACATAAGTAAATTGCCACTGACGTCTGAGCCTCTTATTACACAATAGTGCTCATATTCGTCATGTCATGAGAGCTACAACAGCACACTGCACAAAGTGTAACTGTAACAATATGCAGATTGGCTTGTTCTGGCAATCATTATTCCTGAAGACATGTAGCTGCATTACATAAATGTCAGTAGTGACCTTTTTAGCAAGATGTAACTAGGAAGTATGATGTAAACGTCTAAATCAAAACCAAAAACCACGCCAATTTTTTTTTAGAACCGAGACTGGAAGGGGCAGGGCCAGCATGCTGAACCAATGTGCTGCGTACAAAGGAGATGACAAAAAACAAGCTGGCAGGTGGAAAAAGCAGATGGATGAGTTAGTCTACAGCTTCTTCTCCATTACACAGTAACAGGCTGGGGATTGTAGGAGACAGGGGCGTCCGGAGGCCAGGTGTCACCCGGAGTGGATACCGGGTGACACCCCGCCGTGACATCATCGCGCATGTGCGGCTATCTCGTGATATCTGCCGGCGGCCATCTTGGTGATGGATGGCGGCAGAGAGAGGAGGGGGATGTTCACCTGGTGGAATAAGGTATGCCGCCAAGTCCCCTCTTTCCTGCAACTGTCGGGCTCTCGGTCCATGATCGAGTGCCTGGCTTTTCAGAGGGGGGTGACACCAAAATTACTGTTAGACATTTTGGTATCACCCCTCCAATGGTGTCACCTGGGTGCGGGCCTCACCCCCCCCCCCCATAGTGTCGCCACTGGTAGGAGACCTACTTGTATTGCTTAACTGCAATAGAAAAATAAAAGGGAAGTTCACCAACATCGCCTAGCTGTCTCACACGAGCACATACTCAATAAGACGTCTGTAGCTGCCGAGACATAGTTTGGCCCATTCTGCTTGAGAAAACTGCTCCAGCTGTCTCAGGTTTGAAGGGTGCCTTCTCCAGACTGCATGTTTCAGCCGTTTGATCGGATTCAGATCAGGGCTCATAGAAGGCCACTTCAGAATAGTCCAATGTTTTGTTCTTAGCCAATTGTGTGTGAGTTTAGCTGTGTGTTTTGGGTCATTATCCTGTTGGAGGACCCATGACCTGTAACAAAGACAGAGCCTTCTGACACTGCGCAGTACGTATCACTCTAGACTTCTTTGATAGTCTTGGGATTTAATTGTGCCACCACAGATTCAAGACACACCATGCTAGATGCAGCAAAGTAGTCAGGAAACATACGTGAGCCTTCTCCATGTTTCACAGTAGATACGAGGGTTCCATTCTTTGAAAGCTTAATTTTTTTGTCTAGAAACATAGAACTGATATGATTTGTCAAAGCGTTCCAGTTTTGTCTCATCTGTCAAAGGACATTCTCTCAGAAGCATTGTGGCTTATCAATCTGCATTTTAGGCTTTTTTAGGTCTCCTGGGTCTTCTTCCTTTGACCCCACTGTCACGCAAAAATAAATGGTTGGTGCCATCAGACACTGATGTAGTTTGGCCTTAGACTTAGGCTTGTATGCCTTTGTAAGTTTTCCTTGCTTCTTTCCCACTATCCTTCTGCTGAATCTGGGGTCAATTTTCAAGGAGGTTTGCTACACTCTCATGGACCTTAAAAACATACAAATATTTGCAAATGTAGTCACAGGAACATCAAGCCGTTTGGAGATGGGTCTCATAGCCTTTACCTTTGATATGCTGGTCTAAAATTTTGTTTCTGATCTCCTCAGTGAACTCTCTACTTTTCCGTTTATATAGGCCACTGGCTGATTACAACATTGAAGACATGTGCGATACGAATGACAAAATACAGTTAGTTTGAGATATCACTGCAATCCAATTATTTAAAATCTTTTCTAGGGGTACCAACAAATCTGTCCAGGCCATATCAGAATATCTTTGTAGAATAAGCAATTCATTATCTATTCTCACACCATTGCTTTACTCTATGACATACCAAAGCCATGCAGGTATAACTGAGACAATGGATTTTAATTTCACCCCTTTTTGGAGGAATGAAGAATTGTTTGAATGAGTACCAACAAATGTGTCCACGTCTGCATATATAAAAATACTGATCTATCCATCCTATTTAAAGTGTATGTTACCCCAAAAATTCAAACCACGTATTTGTGTTTTCACAGATGATGTATGTAAATGTATTGTGTTCTTGACATCCTAATTTGTTCTGAAATACCTGGTGATCCTGCTCGGAAGACGAGACTGAGCGTCAAAAAACAAGGGAGGAGGGGTTTATTTATTTTAGCAAACTATGCAAAATAAATTACTAAATGTATATTGGTAGTTTTGTTGCCCATTAGGTTATTTCAGTTCACAAACGTTTAACCACTTGAAGACTGGGGTGTTAAACCCCCTTCCTGTCCAGGCCGTTTTTCAGTATTCAGCGCTGCGGTACTTTCACTGACAATTATTCAGTTATGCAATGCCATACCAAAATGAATTTTACTCTACTTTTTTTGGGACAGATAGAGCTTTCTTTTGGTGGTATTTAATCACCACTGCGGTTTTTATTTGAAAATACAAACAAACAAACAAAAAACGGTTTTACCTACATTATGTTATAAAACATTCATTATTACCCATTTTTTTAGTAACATATTAAAGATGGGGTCACATCAGGTAGACACCAAACATGACAGGCCAATCGCAAAAAAAGTACCATACCCAAAATTGGTCATAGGCGACGCTTTAACCGCTCATCAATTTAGTGTAAACAGTGATTGATGTCCCTAGAATTATTGCTCGCACTCCGACGTTCATGCGGATATGTAACATGTGCGGTGAAATGGGCGCAATCTTCATTTAAGCACAACGGTGTGCCTCACACCTGTTTGCATTTGAATCTGTCTATGTGGGGGCGGGGTTTTCTTTTTACACTTAACTAATGTCACCTAGGGACCCCGAAAGAAGGTTATGAAGCAGCCATCTACTTCACCAGCTTCTCTCCGGCTACAGGAGCTGGAGAAATGACAGCTAAAGGGTGGAAGTGATTTAATACACATCAGTGAAGATTTCACAAAATGCCTTGATGTCTGTAAACCACAAAAACCAACTTGGGTGGACGTTTAGTTGATGGCTGTAGGAAGGTCTGACCATGAAAACTACTGTTTTGCTGAACATATACTCTCAGACTCTCCCTTCCAATCTGAGAACATTTCGTAGGGGGGACTGCTATCACCCATAACCATGCGATTGTAGCACAGTCTAGGTGAAACATGGACTGGGCAAGATGGATTGGGGGGGGGGGGGGACAAACATCTTGTTGGTGTGAACAGCAAACATAAATCTGATCTTAACAGCTGGGTACTGCTGTCCTCTCCTTCTGAAAAGGCTATTTCCCTGGCTGCCATGCTGATCCATTGTCTTGAATTCTATCTGTATGACGGACCTGGAAAAAATATGCAGATCAAAATGATTTTCCAGGTCAGTCACTCAGTATGAAAAATACTGAAGCCACAGACAGCCAGGAACTACAATTCTTATAAAGAAGAAATCAATTTGAGGTCCTCATAATTCTCTCAGTACAGGTGTGCCTTAAAACTGGTTTAAAGTTTGTCCTTTTAGATATCATGGTGTCTAAATAGATCAATTTAGACTGCTGAAACAAAACAAAAATCACATAACAAGGGGAGTATACAGAAGTAGCTGAGCTCTACTTCAAGTTAAGAAGTCCTAAAAACAGCATCATATTCAATGTAGACAAAACCAATGAGGGTGAACAGCCCCAATACAACCAATGCGTCTTTCATATCTTACCTGTAAAAAGTAGTTTTCTCCCATAACTGAAGAGATGACATTGTTCATACCACCCTCTACTTTGGCCTTCATCTGCGGATGCCGGGTGTTCACAATGAAAGCAAGAGTTTTTACTGTAAATGTCAAAACAATATTGTTACAAAAAATGTCTAATTCTACACAATTCTTACACAACTATAAGAAAATTATAAAATCAGACTACTTTCTTCAACTCAAACAAGATGCAACCGAATAAGCAACGGGGTAGACCAGGAATGTCACTTGAAGCACTTCAATCCAATCTGAAAAGATATATGGCTAGTCCTACACCTAGTACTAAAAGCAACCCCCTTCAGCTTACAAAGAAAGTCTAGATCACAACCAGAAAAGAAGAGCTGTTATACGGTGTTGGATGACTGTGTCCCCCATCATGTGCCATGGTTCTGTCCTCCAACCTTTAAGTCACTGCTCCTAGTGACGCTCCTGTGTCCTGGACAGTACCATAGCTTGTGTGGCGAACACCAATACTCCCAGAGGTGTCAAATACTGAAGACACTGATGAAAGACGCAGTGCTGGAACAGGGGGAAGGTACAAAACATGGCCTGCCAGAGAGGCGAGTACAAGAGCTCATCTTTTGCAAATCACTTTCATCTCCATTTTTTGAAGTCCAACAGTGTTGCTTGAAGTAACAGTGTTGGCCGGACATGGCCTTCTTCAGCATACAAAGCATTGGTCCATTACATGTAGGATGTAGCAAGCTACCATGTACTAAACACCCACTCAAGAGTCTTCCTATGGGTGCTACTTTTCTACGCCAGGAAGGCAATTCTACTGCATATCTTTGTATAGTTTTCAATGTCCTGTGTCTGTGGTATCAAAAACATTTCACTAAGGCTGGGTTCACACCTAGGCGTACCGAATATGCGCGTTTGTCGCGCGTTTGTACCACGATTTGCGGTAAAAAAAACGCGCGACAAATGCGCGTTTCCGAGGGCTACCTGGATATATATAAACAAAAAACAAACAGGACAAATAAAGAAGACCACAACACCAGAGCTGTTGTACATAGGGACCAATCATAATTCTTAGTAGCAGTAACAGGATTCTTTTAGGAAACATTAAGCCTAGCCTGAAACACGTCAAATTAAGAGCTTGTTTCTGCTGCCTGTTAAAGGAAGAACATTATTGTGCATCTCGGTGTGCAGTGTTCCTGTTACTGCTACTAGTTGTATTGCTTTATTGTGGAGACAAGCCAAGACAGCGCCTGATGTGTCATTGCAGAGAGTGGAACCTAGCCTGGCCTAGTATATGCAGTAATAACTCTTCTTTAATTTGTCTCTGCAAAATGAAAAAAAGGTGAATTCTGATTGGTGGCCATTTTATAGAATGGGCCCTAACCTCATTTTCCATCTACTGGTCCACAGCCCTGACCTTGGCTGGTTTTGAATAGCTGAGTCCACACAGTGGTCAGGTAGATATTCCAGCTCACTGTACACAAGCTTGAGCACTTGGTAATTATGAGAATCTAAATTCCATTACCCATCCCCTAGTAGTGACAAGCTGGGGACTTTGTAACCTTTACTTTATCTTATACATAGGAAAATAATTCACAATGAACACCAAAATGAAAATGTCAAAATAGTCACCTAATCTTGGTGACCTCACAGCTTTCCCACCCCAAAAAAGTGACATATGACTAGATATGCAAGCATGCAGTATAACGAAGTGATAACATAGACACAGATCATAAACATGACGTGAGACTATTTAGTGCCATTTCATATGTTTGTTTTTTTATAACCTGTCTGTCTGTTTTGCTGTGTACAACAACTGCTGAATATGTGTAACCAGTTTGTGAAGAGTTCAGTACATCCAGCACTCTGGGTGAAGGCTTACAATGTTCTGCCACTCCTTTCTGTGCAGGGTACAAACCTAAAGCTTTTTATTACGGCATAACAGAAAGGTCAAAGTTTATTCTGGTTTTCAGCATTTGGGAAATCAAGAATTTCTTAAGGTTGAGCAATACAGCAATACAGACAAGCTTGGTACAGAGTCATCATACCTGAACTGGAGTTGAGTTTTCGTACATTGGTTAGAAACAACATTGGTTTTGCCAGCAATGTTTCTCTGTAATCTTTGTAGTCAACGTGGCTCTTGAGAGTGACTTTCCTAAAAAGAAAAATATATAAAAATATTTTACTATGTATGCCAAAAGGTGGCCTGATAACTACAAGCAATGTGACAAATTTTAAGAACGGTTTGCAATTATTGGGTCATTTCTAAACTGGTGAATGGCAGTAAGGAGCGTCCTTATATTTTCTTAATTTAATGTGTTCAGGAGCAATAAATAAATAAATAAATAAATAAAATAAAAGCAGGTGGCATTCTCCTTTACATGTTTACTTTGGCTAATCCTATCTGTTGTGCAGAAGAAAAAAAAGGCGCTCGATAACTGAAGCTCAGATTACACACACAGCAGAGTAAATCTGGCCATACACCGGTAGAATTTAGTTTGAAAACATTTGTTTTTGAAATGATTGTTCTATTTTCAAATAGTTCATCGTGTTAGGAAGGAAGGAACATTGTTCTTTTTGGAATTAATGGATCTTCTCGATAGAAAACCACATTCACTGTTAGGATTTCCTTCCTGCAAGCAACTCCATCCTGAAATGAAATTTGAAAATCAAACTCAATTTCAAATGACACCCGTCAAGTCTCTGATGCCATTATTGAATGTCCTGAGGAGATTTTTTGGGATGAACATTTGTACAAAAATCTACCAGTGTATGGCCAGCTTAAGTCAGAGGAATTATTTATCCCTCCTTGCTGCTCTGGATAGAGCAGTATAACTTTGTTTTACCTAGACCAAAACAAGCACTTAACCCTTGCAGTGCAGGGGTAGCCCCACTGCAAGGGTTAATAAAAAGTTTCCCTAGAGATCTTCCTTAAAACAATATCCTGGTTTGTAATTAAAGTTCGATTCTATATAATAATAATAATAATAATAATAATAATAATAATAATAATAAAAGCCAAACATACACTGGAAATGTTTTTACTTATTGCGTGGATCGAATCTCTTATTTTTTAGGTGATTTCATTTGGAAGTCATCTGCCAAGTATGAGGTGTAAAATGAATGGCTGCCAGTAAGGAAGGAAGCTGACATCAGAAAAAAGGGCTGTAAACAAGCTCGTCTCACACCATTAAGAAAAAGAATTTGCTTTAAACTTGCTTGTCAATCTAAACGACAACATTCTGCTGTTCCGGATATTCAGGCGTAGATTTAACAACTGGAAAAGTGGTCATGCGATCATCAGTGGTCAGCTGTCCAAAAGACATGACATTCAGGCCGTCACCTCAAGAGACACACCAAACCAGCCACGGAACATTTATGACACATTCTAACCCTACTAGGACACAACACTTTAGTTAGCGATAGCAAGGATTAACACTTTTACTGACTTACTATGCTATAGCACACCAACCAATGTTGTCATAACAGATGCCCTTGTACTATACTATGTCTGCAGAAAAGGGAAAACCCCTGTTGCATCATGGGAATCATGTTTCCGGTTATAATCCTGTTTACCGATGAGATGCTCAATAGAATGAGGGGTCAAACAAACCAAATTTCCAAACATAGGACTGAAAATAGCAGCAAGCTATAGAAGTCCATCGGTGTTTCACAGAATGGAAAAACATGATTGTCTTATGTTAGGTAGCTTTAGTTACAAAGTTACTAGAATAGTCACTAGAGTATAAGGAACAGGAAGGAAGACTTCTGTCAATGTTTCTCACAAAAATACATATAATCTTTCTCTGTGTGTAAAACTCTTAAAACAGAGGATTCTCAGGGTACTGGGAGGTCCCTGGTTCAAATTCCCAAGACACTATCTGCAAGGAGATTACATGTCCCCCTGTGCTTGCGTGGGTTTCCTCCGGGTACTCCAGTTTCCTCCCACACTTTAAAGACATGCTGGTAAGTGAATTGGCTCCTGTCCAAATTGGCCCTCCTATGTATGCATGCATGTGGGATAGCTTAGATTGTAAGCTCCTTGAGGACCGGGACCGATGTGAAATAAAAGCACTGCAAAAATTGTTGGCGATATATAAAATATCTGTAATAAATAAAAGGTGTTCCCTTATCATTACATTTTCGGCAACTTCATATATAAAAAGGAATGGGAGCAGCCTTCGGAGGACTTTGCCTAAGTGCTTCTACTTCGCTTACCCTTTGAGCAGGTCCCCTACCCCTTTTGAGGCATGTTTTGAAGCATGTTCCTGCCTCAACCTAAGAATAGCAATTAACCCCTTTGCAAACAGGGTCCTTCTTTTTCTGCTAACAGATGTCCTTTTTGTCCCCAGGGTAACTTGGACAAATGCTCCAAATCCCCCCTCTCTGGTGGTTTCAAACGGCTTTGGCAGAATAAGTCAACCAAGCTCATAAAGAAGTCTCCCACCATATGAAGGTTTGCCCTCACCCATCCATTTCAAGGTATGGTGGGCGGGGAGGGGAGGACTTTGATTATGTGCACATCCCTGGATTTCTCTCATTACAGACAATTGGGTCAACAAGCTGTTCACTGCTGTTCACTGCAGACTACAGAATATAATTCTGGTCCTATCCAGCAGGCAGGTTCTTTCCCTTTAATCTCCACCTGTCTCTGACCTCTGGGTGGCCGTCAAGGGCTTCCTTCAAGGAGCAATTGCTCTGGTTCCATCTTAAGAAAAGTTCAAGGGCTTCTATTCAAGCACATTTAGGGTGCCCAAGAAGAACGGAGTTCAACCTATCCTGGACCTCAGGCACGCAACACCTTCGTCAAGGTCCAGGAAGTTCAAAATGGAGTCCATCTTTTTGGTGGTGTCACTTCACCAGGGGTATTTCCTGGCATCCATCGATAACAGTCCCAATATATCGGCTCCACCAACATTTTTGATTGGTTTAAATCCAAGTGTGGAGGTCTACCAGAGTTCTAGCCCCAGTCCTAGCCTTACTGAGTGTGGGATCTCCATCATGGGTTAAACAAACTGGAAAGTCCCCAGGCAAAGGAAGAATGCAAACCTGCTATTCTGAGCTCACTAGGTGCTTTGACTAAATAAACTTTCCAACCCTCCCGGAAACAGACATTTTTCTAGATTAATGATCGAATTCTCCATATCCAAGACATTTATGGGATTTTTGCTTACTTCTTAAAAATGTCCTTGCAGTGTTTTCTTATCTCCTGGCTACCGCCCTCTACAGTGACCCTGATCTAAAGCTGTAGAGCATGTTTACGTTACCTTAGTGAGTTACATAGTTAGTCAGCTTGAAGAAAAAAAAAAGACACAGGACCATTGAGTTTAACCTATAGAGATAAGAGGAGAACAAAAAAAACAAAACAAAAAAAAAAGGAAGAAGAAAAAACAGAACACTGTGCCCATAATTACCCAATGTTGATCCAGAGGAAGGCAAAAACCCTATAAAGCACAGTTCAACAGGGAAACATATTTACTTCCTGATCCCATAAGGCAATTGGATATTCCCTGGATCATCAAATCCCTGATGCTTAATATACCTCTAAGAACTCTATATCCAGTAATATTCTGTGCATTTAGGAATACATCCAGATTTGTTTTTAAACAATTAACTGAGCTCGCTAGAACTAGCTCCTTGGGGAGTCTATTCCACATTTTCACAGCTCTAACTGTGAAGAATCCTTTCTGTATGCAAAGGTTAAACCTCTTTTCCTCCAGACGCAAAGAGTGCCCCCTTATCCTTTGCAGTGACCTTAACGGGAATAATTTGGCACCAAGCTCACTATATGGACCATTTATGTATTTATACCTGGTGATCATGTCCCCCCTTAATCGCCTCTTCTCAAGAGAGAACAAATTCAGGTCAGTTAATATTTCCTCATAGCTGAGCTCCTTCATGCCTCTTATGAGTTTGGTCGCCCTTCGCTGCACTTTCTCCAGTTCCACAACATCCTTTTTGTGAACTGGTGCCCAAAACTGAAAGCATAGGAGAGTGAGGAGAAAGTAAAAATTCACATTGCAAAGAATCACGTGCAAGGAAAATTGACTGGATGATGGAAGTCAGCACATAGTCACCTCATTCACTAAGCCAAGTAAAAAAAAATCATTTTTTTCTAGTATCCAGTATTGTTTGCAAAGGGAATTCTTACTTTATTTTACCTCATTCACTAAAAGAAGTGAAAATGCATTATTAAAAGTGAACATGCTCTACTCTTACCTAAAAGGGGTATTAAACTCTCAGCGTGTCTTTGCATATATCTACTGCTAGCAAGCAATCAGATAAATGCAAAATGATTAAAAAACAAACAAACAAAAAGATTTTTCAAAAGGGTTAATACTTACCTGTGTCTTCGCCGCGCGCTCCTGTCCGAACATCTGAAAATTTCTCGGGCGGCCGCAAAGGGTCTCGGGGCGGGCGCATGCGCAGTTCAGATGTTCGGCCGGAGACGAGGAGAGACAAAAGGTAAGTCTATGGAGCAGCGGGCACCCGCAGAGACACCGTGGGACATCAAAATAGAGGAGGACAGAGGAGTCAGCGCTGGATCGGAGACCCGCACCAGCGCTGGAGGGACAGCTGAAAACTACAGGAAAGAAGAAGATGATCGGATTAAGAGGCATCATTTAAGGTACGTCCCTACATCAGCACGGGGCGGATGGGGGGACTTTGCCCTTAATGTCACTTTAATCAACCCCACCATTTGCCAAGATGGTTGTAAAATTAAAGCTTAACTTTAGGCAGATATACAAACACAAAATGAGAAAGAAGCAGCACAAGGAGCCAATCAGTTTATGTGCTGACAAGAAGCACGCTGATAGAAAGAGAAAGCAGAGTTACAGAGAGCTCATCACTATGCCAAGTCTCCTTTCCCTGTCCAGTCACAGGCTGGGATGGTCCAGGATGACCTGGGCTCAGAGAAAGTGGGTTGAATTTTTATGGCTTCAGACTGAGGACATCTAGCGGCAGAAAAAAGGTACTTCAAAAAGGAGATTTCTGGATTGAAGGTGAATATTGCAGGAAAAGCTGGTTGTGTTATCATATCTTTTAATGGGCTATTTATTTTGATACTTTTGGCTAGACTAATACATAATGGCATTCATGTATGTTTTTATATCAGGATTGAGTTTAGCCATATATAGTGGAACATACAGCAAAAAGCTAAACACAAAGCATGCATATGTACTCAGTACTTGGTTTGGGCCCCTTTTGCAGCACTTACTGCAATTACTTTTGCACGATATTCTAATTATTCGAGTTTCACCTGTATGTGGAAAGGGGAAAAAGCAATTAAATGCATATGTTCACTTCGAGCTTTACCCTTCCACTACATTGCATAAAAGCTGCAATAATACAATATTTATTTATTACTGGTATTTATATAGCGCTGACAATTAACGTAGCGCTTTACCTACTGCACAGTCACACCAATCCCTGCCCCTCAGGGAGCTTACAATCTAAGGTTCCTATCTTCCATACAGGGTTGATTTACACCAATTAACCTTCCAGCATGTCCAGCAAACTGGAGTACCCGGAGGACACCCATGCAAGCATAGGGAGAACAACCAGAGACCAGAATCAAACCAGAGACCTCCAGTGCCGCAAGGTTGAAGTGATAACCACTACGCCACAAGATCATATTAACCAGCAGAACGTGCCAATTGTATTTTGTGTTATATAGCGCTAATATAGTGGAAGTAGGATTTTCCAGGCCTGGGAGCTCGTATCTTTTGGTACAGGATAGTTACTCTCCGAATTGGGGCTGGCACTGTCCTTCCTTCTGGAGGGGGGCTACTTTTGTTCCCCATGGTCCCTGTGTGTGTTGTAAAGTAGCCACCGCACCAAGATGGACTACAATCTCACATTTAGTTTACTAATTTGTATTAAGGTTGGAGTACATCACAGGAGTGAGCTTGGAGCGGTGACTACTATACAACACACACTGGGACCATGGGGAACAAAAGTAGCCCCCCTCCAGAAGGAAGGACAGTGTCAGCACCAATTCAGAGATGATTTGAGGATCATACAGCCGAGTGATACACAAAATAAGATATATTTCTGATAATAATTAAGGTACCTGAATGTATTTTTTAAGATTTCACTCCTGAGTTTAGTGTCACTTTAAAGAATAAATATTTTATTTCCTATGTAGGATCCAGTAAGGACCTTTCAGGAGGGGATTTGTGCACAGATCCCTAGCTGATGGGAAGGGATGTTACCCTTGTGACATCGGGGTCTGTACATTTGTTTTCCTTCATCTTGCCATGGAGGAAGAATCTGAGCTTACCAGACCCATGTCGGTCTATAGGGAATTGTATGTAACTGGAGTTGTGCCCGCTTACATCAGACGATCCCCAATCCAGCACAATCAGGTCTTCCAAAACCAAACTCTGTTCCCCTTTGTTTTCTGGACCTGGCCGGAGTCAGGTGTATTCTGACGTAAACAGACACACGTCCATATAGATCCGTCTGCCTGCAGGCTAACATCGGGCTTACGATCGGATCCGCCTGAGAAACTGACAGACGGGCCTGGATGGAGAGCCTGTGTGAAAGTGCACTAAGCGTTTATAACGTGTTCTTATCTATGCTCTGTCTTCTATATATATGATACATTATATGTGGTATGTACAGATATAAAACTTAAAACAAGAACATTTAATAATAATAATAATAATAATAATAATAATTTATTCAAAACAAACATACTTGCAAGAAAGATTTGGCAACAAATGTAATCATATACTGGCCAACGTGACAACCAAACAAGACGGAACCCATTGTTACCTGAAGAAGAAATGAAGGATCCGCCTATGTGATCACATGAAATAAATAATACTGATTATGAGTGATTTTTAGGCCTCATCCACACACACAATGCAAGAACAAAATTGTGCACATATTTGTAAATGCGTATAGACGCATATATGCATGCACTCTATGCAATCCCAGAATGCATCATTTTTAATAGTATTAAAATGCATTGTATTATACGGCAGTGTGAATGAGGCCTAACGGATGACAAACTTGACAGCAAAAAAACAAAACCCAATAGTAATAAAGAAATCCATCAGCTGAGTTAGTATTTCCCAGCTATAGGCAACCTCAGCCCTCCGGCTGTAGTGGAACTACAAGTCCCATGAGGCATTGCAAGACTCTGACAGCCACAGGCATGACTCCCAGAGACAGATGCATGATGGGATTGGTAGTTTCAGCACAGCTGGAGCACCCAGGTTGCCAGTCCCCCCTCCAGCCTGCTCACCTCTGGATGTAGTTGATGACTTTACAATGCTCTCCATCTATGTTGGCCACTCCGTCGCTGAACAGGTTGAAGCCGCCTCTCTGGTTGTAGGAGGTGAGGACGCCGCTCTCCAGGCTCAGGTAGCTTGGTTGTAGATCCAGAAGAAGCCTTAGGGGCAGCACGGCCATCTCGCAGTTGGCGGTGGTCATTGTGGCCACCACGTCGGAGCTGACAGAGGACATACTCAGGATGGACCGAGTACTTGCCAGCCGCTCCATCCGGGACAGGGTCGCAGAGTCTGATACAGCCATTGCGACAGTTGTGTTCAGAGAATGACAGCGAAGAACAAACAACGATCGGTAAAGAGGCGACGACCTGCTCCGATCACTGACACCGACAAGATCTGACAGGAGCCGGACACACACAGCTAAGATCCCGGAGCCAGGGCGTAGCGGCCAGCCTAGTGGGCGGAGCGGCCAGCCTAGTGGGAGGGGCTGTCAGTCAAGCTGAAGGGCAGTCAGTCTAGTGGGAGGGGCGACCGTCCTAGTTAACGTGGTGAAGGAAGTTACTACTGTCCTAGTAGGAGGGGCGGAAAGGCTGTATTAGTGGGAGGGGCCGAGGCGGGACACCGTCCTATTGGGTGAGGCGTAGGGAAGGGTGTCTTAGTAGGAGGAGCTGGGACTACCTGTCCGGGTCTGGCGTGCAATTTGCGCGCAGGTGACTTGATGAAGAAATAGACATTATGCTGGGAGGGGAGCCGCCGGGATAAACATGCTTTCACTGAGTAATGCTGCAGAGCTGGTATGTCAGGGAGGCTTCAGGCAGGTCGGATTACGCGGCGATTATGTTCTATTGAAGTTTTTGTCTGAGGATCGGTCGGCTTCAAATAACCCTGCAAAGCGTGCTTTCTGCTAACTCTAATGACCGCATCAGGGTGACATTATTCAGCAAGCCATCTATCCCTCAGTTGTAACCCTTCTGTCTCCCCCTCAGTTGTCCCTCTTTTTTGGTCGTATGTATTTCCCTCTGCATTATTTAAAGTGGAAGGCCAGCTATTGACAAAATTAACCCCGCTTGCAGTGAAGCAACCCCCTACCACAAGGGTTAACTGCTCGTTTTTTACTCTAGGGGGCGGTATACAGAAGATACACTCATCTGATTTGACGTCAGCGCTCACCCATGTCCCCCTTTGCTCCAGCTGTGGTATGTCCCTCATCATCCTCACCTCTCATGCGCGTGAGTGGACCTGTATAAGATGTGATGATGTCAGCAGGGCATAGACCACCTGAGCCCGGGGGAGAAGAGGCTGCAGGGACTGGTCTAGCAGGCAGGGAGGATCAGGTAAGTATATCTTCTTTAATCCAGCCCCTTGATCTAGTGTGGAACAAATGGCAGTCACTGCAACTTGTGAAATATCAAAAGTGTATCACACTAACCTCGTATTTCACCCCTGATGGCACATTATCAATAAGCTCTGAGATATTTCCCCATCAACAACTGCAGAAAGGGGCAAACAGAGCTTTGCATATCTCCAAAATATGTCTGTGAAGGTTCTCATTCATCCAGGCCATGGTGTATCTGTAAAAAAAAAATACAGTTTCCCTAAAATTAAGACCTACCCCGAAAATAAGACCTAGTTTGGTGGTAGCATGTGAGGGGGAACTTGAAGAGCAGGAGAGATGGTATCAGCCTGCAGGGACATACTGTATTTAGGGGATGACAGGGGACTCCCTACGGTCAGCGCAGTGACAGGGAACACTCCAGTACCATATTTCACCAACTGCTGTCCCCTGAAGGAACTGCTTAATGTAATGGTACTGTACTGTACGGTGTACCGGTAAATGGAACCGTACTTTACCGCTTTCTGATGTCCCTACCGCTGTCCCCGATGGCAAAGGCAGCCGGCACTGTAGAAAGCAAGGCTGCAGTGGCGGAGGGAGCAGAGCCACATTAACCGATACTTCCTCTATAGCTCCGGTTACTGTGACCGGCGGAGTGATACCAGATGCACTCTGCCTGTGAAAGAAAGGGATTAGCATTACCGATACTGACCATTTTGTTGCACATTAAAAACAAAAAAAAATAAGGCATCCCCTGAAAATAAGTCCTAGTGTGTTTTTTTGGGGCAAGGAAAATATAAGACCGTGTATTATTTTCAGGGAAACACGGGTAAGTCAAGGCAACTGGACTTGCTGTATTTTTCTTGAAGACGTTTCACTGGACATTCGACCAGCTTTCTCAATTCAGAATGACTTGTTCCCAGATAATTTTTTGTACAAGTCATTCTGAATTGAGAAAGCTGGTTGGATGACAAGTGAAATGTCTTCAAGAAAAATACAGCAAGTCCAGTTGCCTTGATTTATTTTTTTACAGCTATCCCCAAAATATGAACCCACGAAACTTAAAAGACTCAACACATATTATCCAAATTAAAACCAAGAACAGGAGTCACAGGGTATTACCCTACAATACACATAATAAGAACAACAACCCCCCTAATGTGACTACCACAGTCACTATATCAAAAAATATATCAGAACATGCTGGATTTACAAAATTGACTTTATTCCATCACAAAATGGTTAAAACATTTTAAAATGTTCCTTTGCAGAGCTCCATAAGACGCAGGCACATTTTCCCCCTCCTTTTGGGGGGAAAAAAGTGCGTCTTATGGAGCGAAAAATACGGTATATATATTTTTTATTTTCTCATTACATTTTTATTGAAGAAGAGTCCCATGCATACAAGTCAAATTGCAAAAAACTAAATTGAATAATCCAATTTTATACAAATGTAAACTTTTGAAGCACCGTAACTGAAAAACATTAATAGGATAAGTGGGATGGGTGGGGAGTATACGAGACATACGTGCTAGGAAATGGGTTTAGGGAAGGGCAGGGGGGATTGGTGAGAGTGGAGGGTAGAGGGAGGAGTGGTAGGCGATAGGGACAGTGGTGGGGATGTGAAACAATGGCCATGCATTACAAGGGTCAAAGAATCCATGAGAACAGCTTATCAGGGTAACTCCAAAGCAGTGTTTATTTCGTCTACTTTTTTTTCGTCGTTTGGATGTTTTTCTGTGACGAAACAAAAAATTATTACTAGAGCAGCTAACAGGACGAAAATGATGACAAAAATGTCGCAAATTTTCGTCGAGGAACGAAACGAAAATGATTTCCCAGACTAGTGCATTTGGCTTCTGGTTCCCTGAGCACTTCCTATAGTGGGGAGATGTGAACTGAATAATAACCTCCTGATGTACCCAGCGGGACACTAGCTAGCAATTCAGGTAATATGTGCAATGGCGTTAACGTCAATAAAGTTGTTTTTTTTTTATACATAAAGGTGCACGTCTGTTTGTGAAAAAGTAAAATATTTGTTTGTTTATGAAACTTTGTTTTCACTTTAAGATAAAGACGTTCTATATCACAACGGCTAAGGCCCCGTTCACATTGAGCGATTTGCATTTTGCGCGATATCGCGCAAATGCTTGCATCAAAAACCATTGAGTGGCCAAAATCCGCTCCAAAAAGGGTCCTGCTGTAGCGACACACGACAGCAGGACCCTTTGCCCCATTGCAAAGCATTGAAGAGCGATATCACGCGGTAAATAGCCGCGATATCGCGGGAATTACCGCGCGATAAATCGCTCAATGTGAACGGGGCCTAAATCTGTATCTGTATTGCATGTTCACATCTTAATAGCATAACTAATACTAGGTTAATAGAGCTTTATTCCAGGAATATATCATGAAATGAGTTTGGAAATACTAGAGAATTGCTTAAATAATCCATTACACTAAAAATAAACCTATTAGATTTTAGTCGACTAAAACGAGACTAAAATAAAAATTAATTTTTGTCAAAAGACTAAGACCATGAATGAAATTTGGTGTGAAAATGAACACTGCTCCAATGGCAGGGGGCTGAAATGAACTGTATGTCCCTTAGAAGTTTCAAACTTTGTCCAATGAGCTAATTTACTCATTATGTTCTCTTTGATTATGTGTCATCTCCTCCATGATTTGGTCAGCTAGGTTTAGGCAAGCATTGCTAGGTGGTGGCTTTCAATGTTTTCAGTGCTGTGCTAGGTTGAGTTTGGTAGCATTTAACAAATGTGGGAGTATAGGTTTTCTATAGTCTGTGTATGGAATTGTGGAGCAATGGGAAAGATCATTCCAGGAATCAGGTGTTTGTAATATAGTTGCTATTTGTCTCCAATAAGAGCGAATAAAGGAGCACGTCTACCTCGTGTGTGAAGATTCCCTACTGTGTTGTATTTCCTCCAACACATGCGGGTGTGGAAGAGGACATAGTTGCGAGGCGAGATGGGGCCATGTACTGGTGGGTGGAAAGCTTAAAGGTCATTTTTCTGCCTTTGTACTGATAGATCAGGTGTGAGGGGAATTTATCAAAACGAGCAGACAAAATCCAGAGCAGTTGCCCATGGCAACCAATCAGCATCTCTCTTCAGTTTGCTCAGGTAACATTTGAAAATGCCAAGCTGATTGGTTGCAGTGCAAATCTCCAGATTTTGACTGCTCCAGTTTTGATAAATTCCCCCCATAGTATTTCAGGCTTTTCTCCTCATAATGTGTCAAACTCTTTTTCCCACTTGATGAAAGGCAGAGGTATCCAATTTTAAAATGACTCGATGTAGATGAGAATGGGCATGTTCCGGAGGTTTGGGACCTTGTAGGAGAGATTCAGTAGGGGTTTACATTTGTAGATGACTCACAGGTTGCAGAACTTTTTGATCTTTCCATAAGTCCCATGGGAAGGACCCTGTAGCAACAGTGATATGAGAGAGGGGCCATCAAAAAGATGATGAAGGGGTAGTGGTGGGCTCAGTGTCCAGTGAAGAAAGTGTCTTACTTCGAAATGCTGTTTTCACTTGTTTGTCTAATATGTTCCTGTTTCCGTATTCCTTGTTGTATGTACAGTATATATACAGTATTTCTAGATGGTAAAACATTTGTTCTGTAAAATAAAAGAGTTTACAAAAAAAAAGGTCTTACCTTTAACCCCAAATGATAGTATCTGTGTCTGGATAGTGGTATTAGAGGAGAGTTGTAGTGCCATCGTAGTCTTTTGTGGAGGAGATCCCAGTGGCGGAGCGTTAATTAAGTAATTGGAGATGTACCAGAGGAGGTATCCCTATGGGGAGGAAGTATACAAATTTGATGGGATAGTTTGAACCATAAAATGATTCCTCTAGTGCGACCCATCTTTTTCTTTTGTCAGTGAATACCCAACCTATAAGTCTTATAAAGAAGGCCACTGTGTAATATCTCTTGAAGTCAAGCACTCT